CCCGTTCCGAGGAATCCCTTCCCGTTCCGGTCAGAGGTACTGGCTCTTCTGCATGTATTTTCACCTGGTGACACGACTTACACGCTTCAGCCGCCCTCCTGTGAGTGTTTTTGGTCCCTCAGAACTCCCCTTGAGGAAGAAGAGGGTTTGCTGACGTTGTTTGGAACTGCAGTACCCACGCCGCTGCAGAGGAGAGCGGGGTCTCTCCCCGAAGCGTACCGGGCTGGCCGTGGATGGGGGGGGCCGCTCTCCCCCCCCGGGGTTGTTTTTGGTGGCGAAACGCTGATCTTCTCATAGCTCTTCAGGATCTCACCACGCGGCCTTGCTGGCTTTTGCTGCAGGGAGGAGGCTGATGTGTTGCATCTGTGGGCAGGGCGCTGGTGTTGCGGAAGGGGGTCTGACAACTACCACTAGTTTCTTTTCCTTGAGGAAAGCTGAGAGTGAGTAGAACAGCTGATGCTGGTTGCTCAGTCGTGCTGCTCATCGGAGTCATGCACTGGGAGTAACAATGCGGAAGGTGCAGCATGGATAACTCCTTAACAGAGACGAGGTTTGGGGCTTTTCCTTTGCTAAGAGAACCATGAAACTGATGATGTTGATATATTCCTCATTTTTGGGGACTACCTGAAAAACCTGTTTGCCTGGATATGAATGTCCTGCTACGTATTGCAAATGTAGTAGTTGATAGGGTGAAAGCCAGGATATTTTAGAAACAGAATGCAGTGGGATCTTTGAAGTCCAGAAGACTTTTGTATTTAAATACATAGATCAGATAGATGAAAGTCTACTGCTTTTCTCAAAAATCATAGAATACCAAATTGGAAGGGACCCCAAGGATCATCTGGTCCAACTTTTCTTGGCAAAAGCATGGCAAAATACTGTCATTACGCGGTGGAAGTTTATCTGTAGAATTTGTTTGGCATAATTTAATAGTATTGCTGAAGACAAAGGAGTCTTGTTGTCTCTAGATAATTCTTCTCTCAGTTACATGAGACCACAGGCAAGAAGCTACTGGTGTTTCTGATGTCTGGGTGAGGAAACAGGAGCTTCAGCCCAAGAGTAGATGCTTGCAGAGCAAGGAACAGTTTTAAATTCCCTTATAGCTTCTTTCAAAGAAAACTCATAAGGAAAAAATGGGAGAAGCCTAATAAAAAGTTGAGCTGGCAAAAAGAAAAAAAAAAGTGAGATAATGGAAATGCACCCTGGCAGGTGTTCATGAGAACCTGGAGGGAAAATTCCCTTCCTCTTTCCCACCCTTGTTTTTTGGAATGCTTGCCACCTCCAACTTTGGATCTTCTCAAAGGGAATAACAAATCATTGGTGCATAAGTGTTTAGCTTACAAGCATGGTCCTGTTGCTGAGAAGAGAGTTCACTCTGTCTTACGACATAGCTATGGAAATGTTATGGAGTGTGTTGTGCTGCTGTCCTTGTTGGAGTTGTGTGTGACAGGATATAGAAGCATAGTCTCTGAAATGTGTAGATACGTTAGGATTAAGTAAGTTACGGAAAAATATCTTGATACGAGCTTCATTATTTTCGAGAGCTTGTTTGTGGGTATGCTTCTTGAGCAACATTAACTGCTCTTATAAACCTTTTCCTTCAGGAATTCATGTTTTTTTCTATATAGTAATTATACATAACAAAATTGGAATTTAAGGCAGTGCTCATAACTGAAGTGGACTCGTTTTACGTGCCCTGTTCATAAACTACACTGTTAATTTGCTTTGACTCCTAACACATTATTATCTACATCAAGTTCATCATCTTTAAATCAGACTTGAATGCAGGGTTAATTCTTTGTGTGGATGTTGCCCAGCAGTAACACACTGCACATTTAAATATGATTCTGTGGTTTTGGTGCTATCTTGCCTGATAGGTTTTGTAGACTTGCTGCTGCATTAGCCATTCCTGTTTGTCTGCCATTATATGAACTGATACAAGCTATTACAATTTTTTTTTTTCTAGGTAACGGCTAGTAGCCGCCACTATGTTGATAGATTATTTGACCTCGATCCTCAGAAAGTCCTGCAAGGTGTCATGTAAGTCATCTGAAACACACTTGGGCTGTCGGTTGTGCATAGGGCTAGGTTTACTTAAATTCCACTAGAGTTGTATGTCAAGGGCAAGAAGCTCTTCCTATCTTTTTTTTTGAGAAACCTTGTTGGAAAATTTTAATGCAAGCATGATAGTATTGTTTTAACAGACTGTCACTCTGTAGTGCATATGGTTCATAACACAGCCTCCCAGTTGCAAGAAATGAATGTAAACATTCTGTAAGAATTCAAAATATTTTTTTGGATATATTTCTTCCTTTTGGCCACCTTTTGCTCCTCTTCCAGGTCTGTTGAGGCTCTTTTCTCTTATTCCACTGCAAAGTCAGCATAACTGCCTCTTACTTTTTCCTCTGCTGCCGTGCCTGAGCATTGGCTTTTTTTTTTTTTTTTATAAATGCATGGCTTCTGTCTTACTGATGGGAACTATGAGCTGAAAGAAAATACTTCCATAGAAATTAATTTGGATGCAAATTATATTTCAGTACTTCTGTTGTGTGCTAGTGATAAGGGGTAATGACTGAAAGAGTGAGTAGAAGACTTGCCTTGCTGAATAGGTAGTAAAACTGGTGCAAAGATCTGGTTGTTTTCTTGCTGTCCTTGAGCTATAAGCTTTACATTGTAACAGCACAGCAATGTGGCAAACAAGTCCTTGCCTGGGACTGACTTCTGGTGGTGACACTAGACCTTTTCATTCTTACCTGTAACTTTACTGGCTGTGGCTATCTAGCGAAACACCAGAAGACATCAAATGACAAAGTGGATCAAAAAGCCAAGAATGTTGGTTGTGTTGCTTAGGACAGGCTGAGCTGTTTTCCAGTAAGAGATGAAAAAAATTATTCCAGAAGGTGTCCCAGGGACCACATACCAGAACTAGTGTCCCTTTGAAACTCAGAAGAAGCACAACATACATAAAACTTTACTGGTTGAAATACCCCCTTACCTGTATGAAAACTTCTGGTACACCACTGTAACTATGTGCAGCTTCTTCATTCGTCCCCTGTAGGACGGTCTGATTTTGCTTCCACCCCTTGGCCTTCTTAGTCCACTACTTGTAAGAGCTGATGTGATGGTCCCAGGGGCAAGGATGCATCTCATCCTATGTCCAAGTGGGTTGCCTGAGCGCCTCTCTTCTTGGCAGATGCTCTGAGCCCTGGGTGGGGTTGCCTCCCTGCTCTTATTTCTTTCCAAAGAACTGGAACCTACAACCCTTGGTAATCCCTTCCCTGCATTTTGAGGTGTCATTCACATCTTTTGAAGTAGAACTGATTTCCCAGAAACAAAAGCTTTAGTCAGTATCTTTGTCTTGGCTAACATCTGAAATTCTTCACCGTGTCCATGGATGTCAGTGGATTCTATGAAGAGGTGCTTTTCTTGCATTTAAAGACAAGAAAATACCAATTTATTTCACAATAGCTTGCAAAGGGCAGATTTGGAGGGTAAACCATAATTGTGATGCTCTGGTTAAAATCCTAATTCTGAGAGTGTATGTGGTGGTTTGGGCGGATTCAACCTTTTTGCCTGCAGCCAAACACAGCCTGCTCTCTCACCCTCCCACTTCCTTGCCCAGGGAGTAGGGGAGAGAACTGGAAAGAAAAGGGCAAGGAAACTCACGGGTTGAGATAAAAAAAACTATTTACTAATTAAAATAAAATGATAATGATAACAACAGTCATAACAGACTATACAAATGAGTGATGCACAGTGCTCACCGCCCACTGACCGATGCCCAGTGATCCTGGAGCCAAGACAGTCCCAAAACTGAAACCCTGGAAGAGCGAGCCTGAGTGATCCCTGAGAGAATACCCCCGTCTTCCGGTCATCCCTGGTTAATATACTGACATGACATGATCCAGAATATCTCATTGGCACATCCAAATGCCAGTTTTGGGTTTTGCTGTTTGCTGCGCTTCTCCCTCCCAGTCCTAATGCAGCTGTGAACCAGCCAAACATGGTGGCCTTGAGCTCCAGCAGCAACTAATAACATTAGTACTTTTATCAGTGTTCTTCTCATAACAAGTTCTGCTGAAACAAAAACACAACTCTTCTAATTACTAAAGAGAAAATTAACTCTATCCTAGCAAAACCAGGACAGTGTATCTTCCCTGAGATTGAGCAAATCCTATGTGGTGGATTTGTTATTTTATCAGTATTGGTGGGTGGATGTGAAACAGTCCAGTTTAGAGAAGTGTATATATAAAAATAGGATTTAGAATAGTGTATATAGAAAAAAGTCTTTCAGTCCAAGATTCTCTTTGGGCAGAAAAATACTACTTTGCCCTTCTTCCTTTGACTTATCAGAATGAGAAGAGGTATTGAAGTTGAAATAAACTGGTATTTGGGGTGGAGCAGGAGGGGCTTAAAGTTCTACCAGAAGTTTCTGTCGGAAGCTTTACCAGATATTCTGTGTACTTTGCTGAAAAATCTTTGGTTCCTAAGATGTGCTGATTTTTTTCCTGCATCCTGGCTGAAAATACTGATGACCTAGATTTTTAGTTTGATTGATGGAACTGTATGAATATCAAGGATCAGAAAATAGGCTGTCTTAAGGGGCTTTGTTTCTGCAGATTGTCTTCAGTTACAATAGTCCTGTTCTTCATGGGCTATTAAAGACACTTGAAGGAGTAAACTTGGGTTTGGGGCTTTTTTTAATTGCATCTTTGTAATTTTAATGAAAACCAGCTTCTGAATGAGGTTTGGTAAAGGTGAAATATAGCTAAATGCTTCTTGAACTTGAAAATCATGCCAGTCCAGTTGTCATCTTATAACTTGAGGAAGCTTTTAATTATATGTTCTGAAATTATTTAAATGATCAAATCTCTTCTTTTCTTTTCTTTCCCATGGTATTGTCCAAGAGGTTGCATTCACAATCTTCTTTTGTCCAGGCAGTGAAGTCTTACCTGACTAGGAGCTTTTTCCTTTTCCTCCTCATGGGAAAACTGAGAAACCAATTCCCTTTTGTCCAGTACTGCTGTATATGGTTCTGTTGATCTTATTTCAAAACGTCGAGTTTCGTGCAGAACTTTTGTTCATATCATTTATATCATGTTCATCTGGGTATTGATAGTAGGTAGGAAGGGGAGAATTGTGTGTACCTGCTAGTGAATCACGAATTTCAGTTCAGCATTTGAAATATTGAGATTTTTATAAGGATGACCGCTGTCTTTTATTGTACCTGATAGCGAACTATTTAAAGTGTGCAAGGCCCACATCTTCCTACCCACGTCTGTATGGCGTGTATGTATTTACCTTTCTATTTACTGTCTTTATAAATGAGCAAGCTTAATTTCCTTCTGTAAACATAAACTCTATGTTGTGGCCATGCTTATGCTTGAGAGGTCTTACAGTTTTGCTTTGTGTCTACTTAGGTCCTCTTCTAAACCTTATACCTTCTACATAATGTTCTGCAGTTCAGATTTTCTCAAACGCACTCTGACTGCGTTCTGCAAGGTCAGCGTTAATGTCAGGTGTGCAGCTGTCGGATACATTTAGTGTTGACTGTGCATAGACTAAAACAGATATTGCAGGGGATTAAATACTTTGTTCTCTCAGAAGTTCACTTAAGTGTTTTGCTGTTATTGTCAGAGGAGCAGAACATAGATAGCTCTGTAAACTTCTGCATTGTTATAAGAGCTTTGTTTGTCCCAAGATGGTTGCTGCAGCATCATCTTGTGCTTTGCAGTGTGGCAGTATTGATTTTTATATTATTAAAAAAAAAAAGAGTGGTGATCCTTAGACTAGCATTTGCTAAGCTCCTAAGCTCAGGACCACATTGTTCAAATGCAAGACTGATACCTATTTTGTGCTTATTTGCTGGTCAGGGACTTCTTTGAGAGACATTTTGTCATGCTTACATTTAGCCTGATGTCTTCAAAGAGGTGATCTATCATTTTACGGAGAGCTATGTAACTCTGCCTCAAAGGCTGGTTTTGAAAGGAGCGTTCTTTCTGACAGATCTGTCTTACTCAAGGTCTCAACTGCTTCTCATCAGACTGTTCCTCAGCAGTCAGAGGGTGTCATCTTTTAAGGCTTGTAAATAATCATCTTTGTGATGCACTGAGAATACCTACGCTACTGCTGTTTCTATCCTTTATGGATGTGCTTATCCTGCCAGCTGGAATTACTAAACAAACATTTTCCAAACTTGTGCGAGTGTTTTATTTCTCAGGAAAACGGAAGAAACATCCTATAGAAATGGCTTTTGGTACTGAAGAACCATTGTCAAAGTGTTTGTCTACAGTATCTTCCTTTTTCCCAGGGAGCATGTCTAGTGCTGCGGTGGTAATACTGGTGCAGATCTATGCAGTATAATCAATTTGAGTTGTATATGCTTTCTACACAGGATGATTTTGAGTGTTTGAGAATTGATGTCGTTGATAAGGGAAGTATAATAGTTGGCATACGGGTAAGGACTTGTGGACAACTTTGAATCTGACCGTTATGTTTTTAGGGTCCCTGCAGACTCAGACCGAGGATGCTGCAGTGGTTAGTGGTTATGCTCCGTGTTTTGAAGACTCCGACATTTTAGCACAGCCAAGATGTAACTGGGTTTACCTTTGTGGTAGGTTCTTGGATGCAAAGTTAGGTATGTGTTACGAGCTCCTCTAAAGGACAGTGGACTTGTACTTGCATTCGGCAAGATGTTTTGTACTGCTTGCTGGTTTCTGCCTTCTTCAAACAGAAGACACTAGAAGGTAGTCACAAACCAGAAAAAAAACAGCCCTTATCTTTTTAGTAACACTGCTTTCATGGAACCTATCTTGTATCTCTCTTGTTGTTGGTTGCCTTGAAATTAATCAGGAACACCTCAAACAGTGTGTGTTTTTTACATCCAGCTTTTTTCATTTGTGTGTTCTTGGATTTGAAAAAAGTGTTCCAGGCACATGTTTAGATGACTGTATAATAGTTTCTTGTATTTCTCAGCTATGGCAATTGGAATGAGAGCATCAGTGCAGTGTTCCACACATGCCTGCAGGGAAAGCTGTGTG